ACCTTGAGTTCGTATTGTAATGTTTGTTTGGTTATAAGTCAATTTTTTTTTTTAATAATATGTTCATTGCTGCAATTGGATATTAGTAATTAGCCGGTGTATCAATACCGAGATCATTCGCCGAAGCCCAACAAAACAAACACAGACATAGCACGGTACCCAATAGCGTTATTAACATTTATGCAAGTAAATCCAGTGTATTAATATTAAATATTTGTTCACCGGTGATTAGTGAATGTCGCGAGGAAAGCCAATCTAAAATATTGTAACAGCATTTTAGTTCAATAAATTTGATTTCAAACTACACCAATAACTAAATAAATAATAATTTATTCGAAACAAAAATTAAACAAACAGTAAAGTTTTTAAGAATTTGTATAATAAACCGTAATTGCGATCGTAAAAGTTACAAAAAACTTTGGTAATAAACGTTTAAAAAAAAATGTAAATTCAAAGATCATAAATTCATATTTATTGCTTAAGCAAAATATGTATACGAGGTGATCAGTTTGACAATAGGCTTTCGTTTTATAAAATGAATTTCAGGTTTATTGTTTTTTAAACCTTTTTTTTTTGTTAGCCTTTATTGTGTAAATATGATTGCTCTTTCAGTTTGTTATTTTACAATACTACAAAATTGTTTAATACTTACTAAATGTAATATTTTTAAGAGATGTCGGTATTATTCGTAACAAAACAACTCAACTGATATCTTATATACCTTTTTATTGCATTTCTGGCAAAAATGTAATAAAATAGAAATGTACAAATATTTTACCTTGCTCTTAGCATGCGACAGTACAAGTATATTTCAATAAACATAGTATTTCAGTAAGTAGCGGTTAAACGAAAGTTATTATGAAAATATAACCACAGTGCCTGTTTAAATATTGTCATGGCCGAATTAAATTTATATTATGCGGTGCGTGTGGATATGCGTGACAGATTGATGATCAAAGAAGGCATTTTAGTATAATTAAAAATACTACCGTGTAAATCATTGGATGTAATAAATTTGCATTTCGGTAAAATTATTAAAGTATACATTTCATTAACGTGGCTTTTTAATATTCTAATCGAAATATGATCAGATATAATTTGAATATTTAACTATGCACTTTCAGTTGTCAGTTCAACATTTTCAAGCAATAAAAAATGAACCACTAATAACATCTATGAAAATACATCTAAAAAATAATGAAATAACAAGTACTTCAAGTGAATTCACTGATTATGCGGTGATTTACATTAAAAAAAACTATTCTACGATGATGCAATACAGATTTTGTTTTAATCTGAACGAGGAACGATCATTGATTGTGCTGCTATGGCGTCATTAATAATGTATTAATTACCGTCAAGTACGACAAGGACAACATTGCAAAGTTTTTCGGCTTTGTTTTCTCAGCTTTATAGCATCGAAGAAGCTAGAATCGCATCAATCACTTGCTTTCATTTACACGGGGTCTTTTTTTTGGCTTATATTGTTATTATATTTATTTAGCTTATTATATAATCAATATATTCCTCATTAATCGTGCCCGACAATAATTAGTACCTCTTGTTTGTGTACTATTGTATGATTTTCACCCATACTGCATATTGTCGTGTAGCTAACATGCATTGACATCCCTTGGCGAATCCCAACACTAGTATGAAATAAATTTGACAATATTATATTAGGTATAGCTATTGTGTATCTGAGTGCGGTTATCATTTTATATATTTTTTTTTCAATTTATTATAACGAACGCAAAAAACGTCTGTAAAAAATATAAGTACATTGTTTCAAAAATAAAATAGATAGAAAATAACAATACAATTTACACCAAGCCCATCAACGACATCCAAAGTTATCAAATAATTAACTTTTTCTCATTTTTTAATTAAAATACATTTACTAATTAACAAATATAATTATTATGTATACAATTTAATACTAAATACTCCAATGTTTCAAGGTCCAATGTTGTTAACCATTTCGTTTATGTACATAAACTTATAGTTGTTTTTTTTTTTTATTGACAACTAGTGTTGATGTCAGTCTTTATTAGGCTTAAGAACATTGGCGGAAATAATATATACGGTCTTAAGGCATATCGAAATAACATTAAATGAATATGCTAAACATATAACTTTAAAACGCTGATAGCTCGATTTATTTCTGAGGCCTAATTAAAAAAAAAAAAAAAAAAAATGCTGATTATTTGACCCCACTCATTTCCGGCTAAGCCGACTGCTTTGAAAGTAATTCGTCTGATTCAAATATTTTTGCAATTTGTAGGAAATAAAGATGACGTGTTTGCAATCTATTGATTTACCCTAATTTTTCTAACAGTTACTTTAAGGTTCGATTAAAACGTTGAAATTAGTCTGTTGAAAATTAACGTCAGCAAATAAACAGACCAGAACGCGTAAATGTGCTTGATTTGCATACACAGAGCGCCGTCTGAACAATAAACTTCAATTGATTTATTTAAAAATATACAGTAACGCTTGAAGACTAAGCCACGGCGCGACATTATTCCCAATGTTTATTCTACTTCTCATCGGCCTCAATCTAATCATAATAATTATGTTGTTTCAGTAGTACAATTTTGAACATTTTGCCACTTGAACCGGTGAGGGAGACGTTAATAACATACATAATTCAACGTAACATAATATTATGTAAATAATATAAAAAAGTGTAACAACACACAAGGAAAATAAACTTTTTTCAAAGTTATGTTTGGTAAAATATTGTAAAACCAATATGTCTGACCCAGACATAAGAAAAAACTTTATTATCGGTGTCGGGGTGCAAAAAGGGTTGGACTTCTAAGTTGACATTATATTTATAACTTGATTTTGTTCACATACAACCGTGACGTGTAAGTATTTTGTAAAGCATTTCAAGTATTTCAACGTTTTAATTAATATATGGGTACCGTAACAGGTAAAAAAGTCCCTCGAAAATCTTAGTCACTTATTTTGGTCCCAATCTAGTACCAATGATATTGTTAGTACCCGCCCTCCGAATTTCCCAATTAACCCATAAGTTAATTAGGTTATTTTAGTATAAGAACCAATTTGGTGAAACCGCCTTTCAAGCACATAACTTTCGCGTCAAAAATATTTTCACACCGAGTTTGACTACCTATACACATTTTGTAAAACGTTTAATCGTTGTCCAATTAACACACTGCAAATTAAACGGTGTCGGTGTAAAGATAATTAAAAATTATTTAAAAAGTCTTTTTTTTCAATTTCTTTTACGCCCAAGTTATGACACGATTCTCGGATTTAGATGCAATAATATTAAAGTGGTTGTACGTTTGATAAATATTATTAGATTGTTTTTTTTTTTTTAACGAGACCGGTGAGAATTATAATAGGTCTCCATAGTAACGTTGATGGGGGGTGAAAAAATAATTTGAAAAATATATTAACCCAGAGTCTACGAAAAAAACCGTTACCTACTAAACTGATAAAAAAAAAGTCCAATTATTTTTACCGAAGGAAAAATTCCAATGTGCTTTGGACCGGAAACCGAGTAATACCAATAAAAACAATTTAGAATGTGCAATATGCCGTCGTGTCCGTGCTGAATATTTAAAGCTCATTTTTCTCTGTTGGAACGCGCAGATGCTTTTTCTCTGTCCGACAAGACGTTTGTCTTTTTCAATTGCACGATTGCTACCTACGGTTTTCCGAAAGGTTTTCTATGAATGTTAAAAACTGAACCTCCCCGAGGGTTATCCAATTTCTCTCTACGGTAACGTTGTACGAATCAGGTCAAAACTCAAAAAATAATATCATGGCGATGTATACCAAAGTTAAAAACAATGAGATGTAAACACGGTCGACACTGAACATTTAAAAACTGCTGCAACCGTTCTAACAATTTATGAAAAGATCACTATAAACTCTTGTCACTTTGGAATATACGTCTACAAAGATCAACTGATTCTGCCTTAAACATGCCGATTAAACGTTATCCTGTCCCATTATTATCTTTCCTAACCTATCCTACGACATTCGTTATTCAGCGTTTACGACCAACCATCTGCACTGTTCAGACAGCAGCACGATCTACAGCTACTAAGAGAAAATCTGATTTTCGACGAAATTTGATTTGCTATCTAACGTTTGCAAAACAACTTTCTCTAATATAACAATGACGCGAATGTTGATTTAAATGATTAGCTGTCACGACCGCCTAAATGCTTAAGTGTACATGAAATCCTGTCGAGATAGGAAGATGAAACTCAAAACCAACAATACATCTGCCAGAATTTAATTTTCCTTTGGCATTGCTTAACTCAGATAAACTTGTTCTAAGTACCACCATTAAAATTAAACTTACGCTCTTGTAGTTTTGGCCTTGATTGACGATAAGGCCAACAATTTTAAAAAACCATTTTCATTAAAACTCGCCTCAATTAGGTTATGATTTCGTTGTCCGATGTCAAACGTTAAAACATTTAAAATATTTATAATACTGCTAATTTTGTTAAACATTCGTCGTAAAAGCCATCATAATCGAATTGGTTTTTTGTTTGTTAATTTTTTTATTTTTTCATTCGGTTGACAAAATTACTCTGATCCTTATCTAACGATATAATAATGTAAACATAACACAGCCTGTACCAAGTTAAAGCGGACAATCTTAACAACAATCATATTATGTGTTTAATTGGATGTACAATATGAATACTGGCTTTGATTCTTGCGAGTACTCAACTTTAATTAATAGGTGAAAATCCAATTGAACAAACAGTAAATATATTTTATTTTAATTCTATAGTTTTAATTAAAGCCAAGTGTTTGCAGTACATGTTTTCAATGATTTAGGCCATCTTATGTAATATATGACTTAAGTAATATTTATTGACTTTGAATCTAAATTTTTCCATTCTAACTGATATTGTTTAACCAAACGCTTCTTTTCGATAAACGACTGTCTCGTGTTCAATTAAACACATATTAACTTATACGCGGAATTGATTTGTTCACAGGTGGCTTAGGAAGTACCGGACTTGCCGGCAGTTATGGACGGGCTGAACTTCACCGAAGCGTCTTCGGCATGGAACATTACAGCGCAGACAACGGACGATCAGTGTCGAGCAACCGAGACGGGCCCGCTGGGTTCTACGGTGTTCAGGACCATCGTTTACCTAATGTACTCGGTGGTGTTCGTCGTGGCGCTAGCCGGCAACGGACTGGTATGCTACGTGGTCATGTTCTCGTCACAAATGCATTCGGTTACCAATTTGTTCATCATGAACATGGCGGTCGGTGACCTGCTGATGACGCTGTTTTGCGTACCGTTTTCGTTTGTCGCCACGCTCATGCTACAGTACTGGCCGTTCGGCAACGACATGTGCCACACAGTCAGCTTTGCTCAAGCCGTGGCGGTTCTGGTATGTCCAACTGTATTTCTAACCCGTTTGTAACGAGGGCAGCGGAAGGCCGATGGGAAGGGTAGAGCAGCAACGGCAATGGGAGAGCAACGTACAGGGGATATGCTGAATCAGCTGTTTGTGTATAGCCAAAGGTGCCATAAGAGACTTTTCCTGTGTCTTGAACAGTAACAAGGTTATTGCGTATCCCCACACTTAATTATGTATTATAAATTCTCACAAAATGGCAGCGTACGGGTAAATCATCCCGAAAGAGGGGAAAACTACACGTTGTTCGACCGTGGTCAATTTCCAGGTTGCTTTGTGTGAGTCAACACGTATTTGGAAAAAATGACATAATAATATCAATTACGATACATGGGCAACTATGACAATAAATTATTATAGACAGACGGTCAACCCTAGTCGCATCCGCCCCAATACTAAAATTACATTTCCAAACACATTATTATCATTTGGAACAATGTTTTTTATCGATATTTTTTCACACCACAAAAGGTTAGAACTACAGTGATTAAAAAAATACAATTATCAAGCCTAAACAATGAACTGACACGAAAATTCAAACCGTTACACAAGTTACAATGACCCGGGATGCTGCACTCCGGACTTAATAACACATAATTCCGTTTAATAAGGGAAGGACAAACGACTGGGGTTTTCTACTGTTGAAACCAAAAACTTTTAATTTTTTCTGAGAATTCTGGACGACCACTATTTTCTCTTAGTAACTTGAATAATAAATGTCAAGTCTAATTAATCATCATTCTTGTAAGACAATGGATGTGCGATTGAATTTTATGCTGTTTACTTAGTTAAATTTCCAAATGAAATTAGTTTATTGGTAGCTGTTACCAAGAATGAGTAGCATAGTTTACATAATCCATTCACAGCGCTCAAATTCTATACAGTAGAAACACAAAAGAGCGGAGAATTACTGAACAATTCCAAACATACATCCCACAAAAGTAAATCACAAACTTTCCCAAGGTAAGAACTGTCATCAATGTAACCCAAATTGTTTTAGAAATAATCTGAAATAGCAAATATAATTACATTGTAGTCTTTCGTGAGCGCTGAAGATGACAACATTGTTGCCGAAATACGACATGTTCGCAGAGAGTATATAATTTTTATGGTTGAGGGTTTTTATTATTATTTTATTACATTGTGCAGACAACAGGGTTTTTCACAAATACAGTTAACATTGTATTGCCAACTTTGGAATTTGGTAATTATTTCAAAAATTAGATCGCTATTTGTATTGTCTGTTAACTAAATCAGACAACAGTGTTATATGTTGCTTAAATAACTTTTATAGAGTATTACGGGTGGTAGAGCCATGAGAAAAATATTGAACCAATAAGCTTATTAGTTGACAAAAATTAGTTTAGATAAATGATTATTGAAATTATTAGCGTTGACTCAAACATTTGTATTATCTTCCTCTCTCGTTTAAACTAGTTGCTTGCTTCCCATATAGGTCTTTAAAAAATTATTTTAAATATTTTGTTTGGTTTTAAATCTTTTTGAAAATCCTAAATAAAAATTGTACTAGACTTTACACAATGCAACTATTCGTTATTGGTTTTACTTAGAATAATTATTCTCTTAATTTGAACCTTTGTTTAATAACTATTGTAAAATCAATTACTTAATATGACAAACGTTTAATATTGAAAATTACAACAAATAGATTTTTGTTTGTTTTTGAAACTACGAGATCCAAACGAGTTCTAAAATGTCTTCGCTTAAGTAGTGCAAAACTAACATTACATTGTACTTTACTCTTTTCCTCATATTATACTGTTTAATGCTAATAAATCAAGAAATATTTTACCGACTAACAGTTTATCGACTAGTACTTATTTTTCATCACATCACACTGCTTGAAATATGTAATACGAACATTTAAAATATATTTATTTCAAGACGGTAAGACCTAATGTCAAGTCGTACAGTGTCTGGAGATGGATAAGTAGTCTTTATACAATTTTATGTTAGTATAAATTCAACAATTATTTCATAGACAAAATTACTAACTCGTAAAATGTTTATCACATTGATTTTTAAACGTTCATAAATTTATAAATGTTTAAAAACCAGTTTTCTTGCAATATTAAACTAAGACAAGATTTCGGAGTCAGTTTTTTATGATAATTTTTGTTTTTTGTTTTGCTCAGTCAGCAATCTAAAAATACAGTAAATTAAAACTTATTGCCTTTGTACAATATCGAAACCATACACTTTTATTAATTTACGAAAACTTTCGGGAAAAGAGCAAAGTTTATACCAACAACAGTATTAAAAACATTTTTACTAATTTTCCCCGAAACGCTCGCAGCGATTTATTCATTTTAATAATCCTCCGCTGTTACAATCGAGTAGCATGCAGAAAAGTTTGTTGTTTTTTTGACAAGCGAGTGGCCCACTAAAGATTATAATAAAATAACTGTAATATTGTATCTAGTTGGTTGTTTACCACAAATAGCATACAGTACTACACGTATCGGATCTGATTGTAACCGTTTGTACCGCAATCGTCGATGCCGAAATAAGTCCAAAAACCAATTTGCCAAACAAATAGAAAATCCGGAAATCCGGCAGTACTACGGCATTGTTTTTCATTTCTAGGAACATACCAATCTGATAGCTCTCCGGCCTTTTTACAATTTCCATCGGGTCGGGCTACGGACAAAACAAAAATCAAACGGTTTACCTCATTTCTGATGGTTAAGAGGACGCCACACACCCAATTTTTTAGCGCTAAAACCTGTCTACGCAGAATGGGTTTTACTCGGCCCACGATGGTCTTAGAGCAAAAACACCAAGTATAAAATAGAAAGATAATGACATTTCTGAAAGAATAGCATATCCGTTTTTTAAAAAATGTCCAAACAAAAAAGTTAAAAATGTTTTAAAAAAGTATAATGTACACTTTTTTAACATTAAATATTGAACTATGTACTAAGTATATCAAAAAAAAAATATGCTTATCCCTCTAAAATGTCATTATCTTTCGATTTTATACTTGGTGTTTTTGCTCTAAAACCATCGTGGACCGAGTAAAACCTGTTCTGCGTAGACAAGTTTTTACGCCAGATTTGTAAATTTGTACGTCGTCATGTGCTGCTTCTAACGGGGCGTTCAAGTATTATTTATAATTGACCGTGCGGAGTGCGGGGGTAACGGTCAGCCGCCGTCCATCCGTCGACCGACAGCCGAAAAACGGCAGGGTTCAATTGTAATGAATCATATAGACCTGTGACCTCTCCGCCGCAATATGCTCCATCCCCACTATGCCTCTACCCCACTGTATTGGCTTTTTAAAATTATTTATACATAACAAAATATATTCGTATAATAGTGCATAATTTTGGAAATTATCACATGTTCTTTAAAAGTGCTTTAAAAATGCTTTAAAAGTCGTATGCCAAGTGCCGACGGCAGTTAATTAGCACCGTAATTCGTGGGATAACAATAGAACTGAATACTGATAATCTAGTTTTAACTGAACGTATTATTTTGTAAATATTGAAGAATTAAGAAATATGCCTATACTAAGGAAATACTATATTTTTGTTGCTATTGTGTTCTGTGTTTTATAGTGAATTTTTTAACAATTTATTATTTTATTATTACTTGTAATATAATTACAAAAATTTTAATTATAATTCTACATTAATTTTTATAGTTGTAAATTTTATAATAATTACCAATATAATTTAACAATAATTGAAATATTAAAAATATCATATTACTTTTCTTGTGTAAATATATGTAATTGGGTTTTATTTCATGATTTTGTCGGTATTAAAAATATCAGTAACAAAATTATTTGAATTGTTTTATTTATAGTTTGTAAAGTAAAAATGATAAAAACATAATTCAAGCTATGATAGAACATAGAGTTTATATTTTATAAATATATCTATATAATTAGGCAAACAGTAGATTTTAATCAATAACTAATTCGTGGTTGCGCGCAGATACTATAAATATGTCGGCTGTGTACAGCGTATGTAATTTCAAAGTATACGAATCGTCTACCAACGACGTTAATTCAATAATAAAACAGGGTCCCGTACGAGAAATTGTCAGACCGGTTACGTCAACAGTAACGTGGTAGGCGGGGCTAAAAACGCGTGCCTGCGCCTCGCTAAAACACCTAACAGCGCGTTCCATCGGTCGTTGCACGCGTTCCACTTTTGGTGTGGCGACCTCTTAAGATTGCTCATTTGTCCAATCCATAATCCTAAACTAGTGTCTGAAAAATTAACCGCTATTACTTACACTATACCAAAGGCGCTAATCGACGATTATGTTGATTTTTTACCAGGTCAGTGCTTACACGTTGGTAGCAATAAGCGTGGACCGGTACATAGCAATCATGTGGCCGCTGAAGCCACGTGCCAGTAGACACCACGCCAAGTTCATCATAACTTTAGTGTGGACGATAGCAGTGATAACTGCTTTGCCTATTTTGTTCGTCACCACGTTAGAACAACCATCCGAATGGCATCAGGTAAGACATACTAAAAATACCCCAAACGTGTTTGGATATTGGCTCTAGTAGTTGAAAAAAAAATTTGAATTATTCCCACCTCAAGTGTAATAACCGTTTTTTTATTATTATAGCTTAACGTTCTACATGATTTTTATCCGCCATAGTTTTATAATATTAATTTCGACGACTCTATCTAGAAACTAATTCCGGGTCAATGTCTGGTACAATTGTCATGCAATTGTATTTAATAAAATAAGCGAATGAATTTACACACACCCGCCGAGTTTGAAATTATTATTAAAAAATATTTCATTTTTTGAGAGTGAAACACTGGCTTTTAGTTCCATGTGCTACGGATGAAAAAATTTATACTATTTAATTAAATTATTACCAGTGTACACACTACACTGCACAGTACACACACAGATAATATATATGTAAAGGACTAATGAAACCAATAATATTATAGCGCAATTCCATATAATGAAACCGGCATTATTCCATCCTTTGTAAACAAAGTTTCATAATCCGCTTCAAGTTGATGTTAAAATACAAATTTTCTAGTTAATAACATAATAGTTATTTAAAAAAAAAATGTCCACGTTAATAATTTTGTCGTTTAATTAATAATATTTAATTAGACACGCCTTCAATATTTTTATTAATACGAAATATTATATACTAAACCATTCGCAGTGTTTGTAGTTACAAAATATGTATAATAGTAGTATCAATTTCGAATATCCAATAGCAACTTTAGCGGTTATTATGATAAACACAATACAGCTGGTATAGTGTAACGCAACAATAATAATTGTGTTGACTATAACGATTATTATAATAATTGTTAAAGTGAAATATGATATTTTGTATCTGTATACAAAACGCTAGGAAAATATAACTTTTGTTCCATGGATGTATTGATTTTATCATAATGCGACGGGAATGTTGTATGATGTATTGCGACTATCTGATCAGTCGTGTCATAAACACCATTTACTATACCTAGTTTAGTTTATACGCCTATACCGGTCAGTTCTCGTCACAGAGGATAATGGTATCTATTTTTCATAAATTTCTGCATCAACGATACTTCTAAACAAAGATAAATCACGCGTCACTTGCCATGCTCTTCGACAGCTACCTATGTCATCCACCGTTTGAAATTTATTAATTTGCCGACCTCAATGACAAATAACGATAGTATCATTATTAAAAAAAAAAAAAAAACCTATAACTAAATAATAGGATTTTTAAATGGGTCGTCATGTTCAACACGTCTATCGTTAAAATAAATCGGTTCAACCTTTTACTCTAACGAAAGACATTATCATCTAATAATTTATCAGTTATCCAGGATTTTCCTTCAGCTCCTGTTCCGCCCGGTCACACAAGACAAGTGCAATGACAATGTAATATACTATTAATAAAACTTTTAAAACGGTCTGGCACAAAAAATCATTAATCAACTCTTCTGTTAATAGTGTAACTTTTCAATATAAAAACTCTAAGCTAATATTTTTGTATTTTCCGTTAGAAAAAACCTTAACCGTGCTATGGCAAACGGGCAAATAAATATGGAAATGTGCTCTGTTTTACACTAGGAATGTGGCGTGTACATATGCAATGAAATGTGGACGAACCAGAACTTTAAACATTTTTACAATTTGGCACTTATGGTGCTCCAATATTGTATACCGTTCGCGGTGCTACTGTTCACGTACATCAGCATCGGGGTGGTCGTATGGGGCAAAAGAACACCAGGCGAAGCGCAAAACTCCAGAGACGCCAGAATGGCCAAGTCCAAAAGAAAGGTAACACGTCTTAGCCCTAAGCCGAAATAGTTCAAAATTAAAAAAATAACACACTATAATGCAAACTAAATGTATGTTTTTTTTTTGTTAATTTTCAGATGATCAAAATGATGGTAACCGTAGTTTTAGCGTTTACGTTTTGCTGGCTACCTTACAATATTTTAATGGTAAAGAAGGTCATTTTTCGATAACCTAACCCAAACGAGAGGTGCACATTGACTAACTGCACCACACTGTCTGCACTTAATATATTGTGTGTTACTAATAAAACTTAAAAACACTGATTTTACAGCATAAAAAATGTCTTAATGAGCTACTATGGTTACACAAATGTTTCAATCGATAAGTTTGATAGCTACTAATACTTACTCAAGCCACGGAGAAAAATATGTTTGGCGTGAAAAAGTTTAAAAAACAGAAGAATAGGTAGACATTACAAAGTCTACGGTTTCGAGTTGAAAATAAATAAATAAATAATTTACATACATTTAACTACCGACATTAGAAATATTCTAAATCACTTCCTCATGACATAAGATGAATTTTTCTAAATGGGTATAGCGTTTGATTTATCTATTCACTTATCTACCAAACTCGTTAAAATATTTCGTCTTAATAGAGCCTCAAGCGACTTTTAAAATCATGTTATTATTTAAGATATTTACAATAAAAATATTTATACAAGTGTGTACAGACCTTTTAAGTGCATTCATACATTGCTTAAGACTTAAATGCGCGTAAAATTGAAACCGGACCGACAACAACAAAAAAACCAAGGTAATAGTTTATAAATTTGTGAATAAATGAGACTTACGGGGTTCACTTTTAATAGTTTTAAAATGAAAAGTAATATCTGGCTATCTCACTATCAAAGCTCAAATAACTCGAATTATAACTCACAACTTTCATTCGTGCACCAAAAATGCCTTGAAAATTCGCCGTTTTAAAAAGTAATCATTCTTTGTTAAAAAATGTATATTTGAAAGAGCAAAAAATTAATAAATTCGTTGTGATTGAAAACACTGTTACAGTTTTGCCTTTGTCCAAATTGACGGTCTGAAAAAGTTTTTTATCCATCATTTAAGGAACTTACTAACTTTTACTCCTATGACGTTTAATACGTTCATTTATTTACATTGTTCATTATTCTATTTTGCGTTTACTAATATGTAATTAGTATCCCACATATTTAAATTTCAATAAAACGGCTAATGTAATGAACTTTTTTTTTAATTAATTTGTTCGTTATAATTTGTTTGTACGCTATTTTGATATCTGTCTAATCCTTATTTATACGCAGTTGTTTGGATATTTGTAGTGTAAGCCTAAATGGGAAAAACTAAATTTGACGTTAATTAGATTGCACGACTTCCAAAAATGTCTTATTTCGTGCAAGAATAAAAAAGCTATGAATTTGTAAATAACCACCACAAACAGTTACTACGTTGTGTTAAATTATCTTCATCGGTTTAACGTATAAGTGTCTCATTAGTATTATGATTTCTGTGCGTGTGCATGCACTTAATACATCCAAGACATAAATCTTGCAAAAATAAAACAACGCTATTAAGTCGCTTAAGTTTTCTAGTAACAAAAATCGAACTTTTGTATAATTATTAGTTTTTCCCCCTATTTTTAAAGCGCTTTTCTCAATCAAAATGTTTCCGAAGACAATTTACTGTTTTTGTAGTCTATTTGCATAATGAACGATAAAATTTAATTAAGTCGGGTATAACCGACAAAGTTAATGAAAACCACTTTGGTATTGGCTAAACTTTTCGTTTTTTCCCGGGAAAACAACTATAATGTTGTTTTATATGAATTAATTGAACTTCCAATAGTAGTCAGTTCCAGTTATATTGTGCACAAGGTTTGACTTGAATAAATTCCAAATTCGTTTTCTTTTCTTTCGAAAAACAATGGCCATTGTCGGTATGATTGCATATTATAATATTTCAGTCAAGTGCCACGACACTATTTAAGTAAACTAGCATTTTATTCCATTATTTATATATAAATATATAAAACACCCACGAGGGTTAGTAAGTTCAGTAAGACAAAATTCAGTAATAATACTTATAAACTAAGTTTTTTAATAATTGTACCATGTAACTATAAAAAAAACCATTTCAGAGCTGTTATAACCACTACAATGCTTAGGCAAACGATAAAGTGGACTATTTTTTAGGTAATCTTTTGAACAAGCTGGCGTAGAAGAGCAAGGTTTAGCTCTAGAATTAAAACAGGAGATTTTGAGACGCTCAAGACAGTCAATTGACCCAATTACTTTATAAATAAAAACAACATCAATAAACCAAGGCGGCGAGCTATTTCATCAGTAGACAAATAAACCGTGTCCGTTGTAAATAGTAATTATAAATGTTCGAGAATATTTTATAAATGAACCCATATAGAAAATGTTCAAAACAAACAAGAAATACTGACTCAACGACTTAGAGTTTAGTATAAAAACAAAAATAAATTTTATACGTTTTTTTTTTTACGTTACTAGGCCTTTGATCAAATTGTTTTATTGCCAAACGAATGTTTCACATGTTTTACAAGTACGGAATTTTGAAAAGATTAAGTGAAAAATAATTTTGTATAAAAGTTTAAAAAACCAAATAATAAGGATTACGGCTTTTATATAATAACATCAAAACCGTCTCTCTTGTCTGTCGCACCATCTGTCGTTATTGTTCTGTTTGATTGGCGGTGTGAAAATAAAATAATATATTTTGTACCTATTTTTATGTTAAAAAAAAATCGAAAAAACACAACACTTACTGTGCGTTTGTATTTTCATTTATATGCGTGTGGTTATTTTTTTGTTTTACCATCATTATATTTTTATTACCGCCGCAAGATAATAATGTAGTTGTGTAGGTTTTATAAAACAACAATATTTCACTCTAAACTATAACGCCCCACTGACAAATAACATTTCTTTGTTCATTCTGTTTGTATCCACCGCTTTGCAGTGCAAGTCAATGTGCGTGGGATGCGATTCGAGTGTGTTTTTTTAGGACTTAACGTAGAAAACGTCCTAAACGCTTGCATTATGCCGGATGACACTTTCTTCTTGTTTTTTTTTTTTTTTTTTACAACTTAGAAAAATCAACATGAACGTCAAACACGTCAATAGCACCAAACTGCCCGGTTTTCTTCGTGTACTTTTTTTATGCGTTCAATTTTCTCCACTGTACAGCATGAACAAAAAAAATATTATTCGTAATGGACATTTTCGAAATTCTTCACCGTGGATTTTATTTTCGGATTTATACACATCCATTATATATTTTTGGCTTCAACAAGAATAAACATAACATTATAATATAGTATTGCACTTTTTAAACGCACATTTTCAAAAAAAAAAAAAGTAATTTTCCCAATTTACTGTACACAATGTGTGCTTCGTTGCTATATAAATACAATATTCATATTCTCATCAGCAACGTTCGCTTGATGCACACGAGACTATTAATTAAACCTTATGAGTGGATTTGAAGTTGAAAATTGTAATACCCGTGTCTCGCTGTAGAGTCTTTAATCACGGTAATATATATTAAACAAACGGCCATATAAATTGATATTAAGCACGCTTAATATGTATGTGTAATAATAATAAGTCTCGTCTAGCAGTTCGAACACACGGACTCAGACAAATAATAATTGTAGCGTAAAGCTGCCAAGAATTGCTATTTAAAATATAAATCATTTTAGGACCAACATAACATCAAGTCTATTATCCGTGTAGATAATAAAATGAAAACATTTTTAAAAAAACCATATTTTATAAAGCTAGTAGTTTTCCTACCGTTGACGGCTGGACGGAAAATATCATTATTGAAAGAACATCTTTATAATATTAGCATTTAATGATGTTCCTTTGTTGAAACATTTTTCTGTATTAAAGTACCAATAAAATAAATGATACTATATAAATCATTGATACACGTACACATCTGATTCCCGGCCGTTAAATGATGATCAATTATTGATCAATATGATCAATTATTTAAACACAAAATATTCAATGGTCCGTTAAACATTTAAAGAAAGTTCATTCAACCCGGTGTAAGTGTTATAATATTATATAAATGTATAATCAAGTTGGAAATAAGAAAATCAGTACAAAGTTTTAAAATACAATATAATTGTAAAAAACACAATTTTTAGTACCTACATTATTTTCACAACAATGATTTTTTGTCGACACTCCAGTTTTTAATTTATACAAGGTGATCAATTTAACGTAAAAAACAATAAAGTAATTTTTAAGTTTTTTGAAAATATTTATGTTAGTTTTTTAACTCTTTTTAAGATATCATAAATTTCCTCACTGTGCTGGCTTTTTCCAACTGCCGCATTCTTCAGTTTTTTTTACGAATTTTTCCAATCGGCCAATTACTAAATATTCGGTAGCTTATTTTTAACTTGAAATAATTATTAACACACACAGCTTACAGATCTTTTTAATTAAGGAAAACTCAAAAATATGTTTTTTCTTTGTTTTACATTAGTAATATATAATTTGCAATGTCGTAATTGGACCATTTGATATTGCGTGTGTTAATTTTTTTCGCAATAGTTTAGCGGATCTTGAAGTCTCATTGCTGCCATCAATATACCATTCCTATTAGTCACTATTATATTATGCTCTCTCCATTTGCACATCTTCCCGGATCCTCTCTAATTATTTTATCGCAACGTCCTACCATTTCTGATAATAATTCTAACAGGTTTAGCACAGAACAAACAGAAGGGAATCTTAGAGCTTATCGAAAAACAATCAGACACATTGAAAAATAGGCAGTGATGCCAGAACGCAGATATTTCGTTAATTTTTTTTATTTTGTGTGTGATTCGTGGCTTAACTGTTCATTTGTTAAATGTCTTAAGTCGGCAACAGTTTAACCGGAATGAACGAAAAAACATGATGTTATCTATTCCCATAAAAGCCCCTACAAAAATTAATAACGATAGTTTCTCTTCTGTTTGTTCTGTGGTTTTAGTAGATTGGGCATATGATATTTGGGCTTTTTTATTCCTTGGAATTTTAACATGGCCAAATGTTATTGGGCTGGATACAAGAAATTTCATGTAGAGATTAGAGATACGTGATAAGAGATAAATGATAACATAATATATCAATCAGACCAATGTTGCACCGCGGAACGGTGATAATAACTAACTTTTAAATGGGTTAATGTTATTTTATTATAAATTTTTATCCCCAGATACTGTGGGATCACGAGCCGTCGTTGAGCACCTGGAGCAATCTGCCGTACGTGTGGTTCTCGTTCCACTGGTTGGCCATGTCGCACACGTGCTACAACCCGCTGATTTACTGCTGGATGAACATGCGGTACCGGACGGGGTTCGCGGCCGTGCTGCGCAACGTTCCCGGGTGCGGCAACTGCCTGGACGGGTACCTGAGCGCTCAACAGCAACAGTTCCACTACAGCCAACATGACGCCAGCCAGATGGAAGGTCTCCACCGGATCAACACGTCGTCGTCGTTCGTGTCGGTCAGGCGGCTCAAGTCATTCAACGGTCGACCATGCAGCAGGCACTATCGCGCCAACTGGCTCGAGGACAACCTCTAGGCGAATGCGTCAACCCTACTGCACAATGGGGCAAAAACCTCATTGAAAGTGGCCAAAAGTATAATTTTTCAAAATATCTTAATGACCGTAATTTCGAATTTCCCTTATACTGGTAACACCGTCGTCCGACCACAAGTTTCGAACCCCCGCAAATCATTTTTAGTTCTAAAAGTTAATAAAATTCCAATTAAATTTTAAAAGTTGACAAACCTCTAGGTATTACTAAAAAGCTAAATATTAATTAATTGTATAATATTGTAAAATAACATGGGCAAATATGTATTTAACTAGAAAAACTACAAAATTGCAATTATTTTAAAAGACAATGCATGTCTTATCCTTAATAAATCACCCTGTATTTTAGTTAAGCCTAAGCCGGAGCATTTATTTAAAAACAATTGAAATAATTGAAATTTTGTAGTTTTCTTTTATTGACACATTTTTCAACCCTTCTAATTTTGTTAACGTATTTATTTTTATGAATGTGTTGAAACTTTCGCGGATTGAAATATCACATGAATGTGGATATATCCGCGTCAATGGTTGTTAACCGACAGTATAGTCACGCCAGCGGAACAGTCGTGACATTACCCTGAAGATGGACTCTGCAAAGAGTCAGAAACGTCGGGTAACAACCATTGACGTGGATATATCCGAAAATCATTTATGTGGTATTTATTTTTTTAACAGTACTGTTCTCTAGATAAAGGAGGCAACCAAAAATTATATTTTTTTTAACAAATTCTCACAATAAATTATATGATTAAAAAAATGTTGAGCGATTATACATTTGACCACTTTTAATATGGGTTCTGTTCACTATTTAACATCCCCACTAGGGGCTACGTACGATTGTTGAAAAAAACTTTTGTAAAAAACAACAACAAAGCATCTGGTGGATGTAATATGATTATTATTGTTTAACGCAAATATTAATATCGTATAACATAAAATGATAAGGCATCTTGTACAGATGTCTTAAGTATGTTTTTGAATATTTGTAAACTGCCTTATATGTTGTTACACGTGTTATTAATTTAACCAATGTATTCTATGGCCTCTGATTTGGAAACTACATATAAATTTCTGGCTTCCAAAATAGTTGTACATAATTTGTAAGAAACTGTTACAGTCTATTAAAATATGTGTAGCTCGACGTTTGTCATAAAAGTATATTATTATAAGTCGTATTAGGCAAAACAAATAACCCACGAAAAATGTTTACAATTACTGGAAAATGCTTTTTAATGTGATATTATCCGTTTTTTAAATACATTTGTATTTAATTAACGAACATTTCTATTGATTCAATTCTATCAACATACAAATTATAATACCATACATATATATATATATATATATATATATATTCCTTGTCCACAGATACATTAGCATAATCAACAACAGCTATACGTGCATAGAATTTTATAAATTTAAAATTATAGATAAATGCTTGTATACACTTTATTCGTGGGTATTTGTTATTGCCCAACACTGTTCATGACACCTGTGCACTATGCGAACGAAATGTACATATTTATGTGGGTCGTACGGCGTAACAGTTTTTAACAATAATAAACGATGAATTTAAAAACGATATGTAGTTGATTTTTAATAAGTAAGTTCCAAAATTAACAAAATTTAAATAAGACACTTTGAACACGTACAAAAAGTTACCATATCGTCTCAGATTTTTCTGCTGTGCTTCCCAAAGTATAACAAGTACAGAGTACAACATTTGAATTAACAGCACACCTATTACTAAAATAAAAAAACAAAACAAAAATCTAGCTATAACGTTACATATGGAAGTCTCAAAAGCACTATATTTAATATGTTGTCTAGAGTCTGTTTATTTATGTTATTTGTTTGTGGAGTTCTACAAAGACAATTTCTAATGTATCTATGTGAGGCACTACTAAGAGTAAAACTAAACAAATTAAATTGGGTATATGGAACTCAGTTCTACCTGAAAGCTAGTGAAAATGTGTCTGAATACTAGCGTCTACCATACACTAAAGCCTAAACTATTTTTTTAAAAATACTACGTATTTCATAACAACTTTTAATAAAAATATATACTGTTTTAATTACATGATTTTGTGTGTACGATCAAATTGTACTATTAGAAAAATAATATTAGATGACCACTTGGACGACGTTTTCAAACCCGGAGAATTGAAGGAAAAATTTGAACAAGCATAACACATTATACAGTCTTTATGAGTACCTAAATTAATATAACAATCCCTAGTGTTTCGCTTAAATGCCTTTGAGTAGTATTTTTTATTTAACAAAGTATGTTCAAGCACTTTTAAACCTTTTAGTTTAATATATCTATGCTTGAGATATAAGTGATTTTTCATATTAATTAAACTCAAGCACTTTTCACGACACTACCATTATAATAATTGAATGCAGGTTTAATATGTGTTTACATAAGTATAATGTACATTCTCATCATTATTGAGAATGTACATTATACTTATGTATCAACAACGGTACGTTCCTGGTAACTCATTATTTCGTTATATTTTTTATACACACATAACTTGTTTAGCTTTTATACAATACAACTCAAGTGATCGTCAATCACTTACAGTTATAATAATTCCTGTAGACTTGTAACTCCACTCGTCCCAATATAATATCATTTTATAAGTGTTAGGTAGTACGAAAGTCATACGAAATTTATTTATACATTTTTTTATTATTATCAAACATGGTATATTTCTATGTACACACAAGAATATCATTGATTGATTTCGTTAATATAATCTAAAAATAACCGAATAAGACCAAAGTCAACCTCTGAGAATATCACACGGAGATGAGACAGGAACAATTTGGTGTTGGCTAGACCGTTGCGTTCAATTGGCCTCGGTCTACTCATGTCCATAAAATACTTCGTTAGGCTTTGGTCCATGCTTTTGTAAGGTACTTTAAATTCTGCGCCGTCTAAATTCATTGGATCAGTTGCCACACATTCGAGCGGAGGAGTGATCGTTCGCAGTATATCTTCAAGGCAATATATAATATTGACTATACTTTCCTGTGCTTTGGCTAAGTTATCTATGGCTACCAGCAAATACTCGATGTGAGGATCACCGTGCATGTTTAACAATTTTTTGAAATCCACCACTAAGAAGTACCATTGTACTGCATAATTCTCTCGAATGGAACCGGTGTAGTCTTTAATTTGCAATAAATATTTCCACGACAATCGAACTATGAAGACTTTCAAGAAATCAAAATACAAGTCATAATGCACTTTGATATGGCTCAGTTTGTTCGTGGACCATTGCATTTCTTTCGTACGTGCCCAAGCCGCATGCAGTTGTGTAATTGTGTTGTGCCATATCACTTGCACGTTGTACACATACATCAAGTCCGACAGGACTTGTAAGTTATTTCCAAAGTTGTTCATCAACAGCTCTTTGAGATTCAACGCTATATACTGTCGATTATCGGTTGATGGAAACTTGTTTTTGTTCAACATGTGTCTAATTGCTGAAAAGTTTCTCATTACTTCAAGTTTTATCCGATCAAGACAGATTGCTTCAGTGTTTTTACAGTCCTGATACCAGCGGTCGTACGAGTTGAATTTGTTTCCTCCGCGGCAATTATTTTCCACTTCCTTTTGCAGTAAGCCCAATACATAATTGTTGGTGTCCAAAAGCTTTCCGATAGTTATTTTTTTCTGCTCGTCGTTAGCGTGTTCAATGCATTGCCTGTAAAAAACAATCGCGATTTTCGTATAAAAATGTAAAGGCCACAACGGACCTATTTTCATACCTTCTATGTTGATCAACGCGTGTACCATTGCTCTGCTGTAGGAAAAACCGATCATTTCCATCGTTTCGCTTGGCGGTACCTGTTGGAAGGTTTCTTCTGTCATCAACAGGTTGACTAGCCGTAAATGGGTCAGTTCGTTGAACATGAAACCGCATTTCAAATCAGCATGGAGGGCAGCAGACGAGACGGGTGTTTTGTCATATGTATAGCCGGTGTGGAGCGATAGTACTGATTGGCCAAAAATTAAAGCCAAGCTCGTAACGATGCTCGTTAGCAGTTTTTTGTCACGCAACATTTTCTAAAACGGTTAAACTTCTAATTGTTACACAAGTACTACTCGTATGAGTCTTGTTGCGATTTGTAATTTCGCCAAATGTCGCCAGGTAAACGCGTATAACCCAGTTGTTTAATTGAATGACGTGCTAGATCGTGTGTAGAAATGTACACATCAGCAACATAAAAAAATAAGTTTACACATAATATGTCAACGTCGATGCATAGTTGTTATTGATTACAGTGTGTTTCTATTTCTTTTAACACATCATTGTCATCCATTACTGCCTTGAGATTTACACCTAACCTAACCCATGGCTTAAATATACAAGGTTATTGCATATCCCCACTTTATTACATTATCAATTCATAAAATGGCAGCTTAATGGTACATCATTGTTTTTTTGATAAATATATAAATAATACTTTAATAAAATATATGAATTTGATTGGTTAACCCAATAAGTGCAATAACCTAGTATATTTAAATCACGACCTAACCGTGACCTACACCAAAGTTATGTCAAAACTGACTCTTTCTCTGGTATCTAAGTAATAATATGCTATTGTTAATTCGTTAATTTTACAATCATTACATATACTAACCAAAAAAAAAAATGATAGTACACCGAGGAAAAGTGTAGAAAGAACTTTATTCAATTGTAAAATATCAATAAAACGGTTTGCAACAATTTCAAGTCAAAAACATGGAAAATCGTACACTTATTTTATACCTAATTACGACATAATAAATATTTACCTACCGATTAATTTCGTCGATATAATCCGTGAGCGACCGAATTACATCGAAATCGACGTTTTTAAATATCACGTTGAGATAACATAGAAAAGTTTTGGCGATAACTAGACTGTTGCGTTCGATTGGTATACGGCTGGATGTCTTTAGATAGTGTTTGGTTATAGAAAATTGTTCCTTACTCATGCAATCTTGCACAAATTCTCGGCCGTCCAAAGTCATTGGATTGGTCGCCTCGCATTCTAACCAGCTGGTTATGTCGTGCAGAATTTCCTCAAGATTGTATATAATGTTGACTATGCTATCCCGGGCCTTTGCCAGTGTATACATAGCAGTGGTTAAATACTTTATGTGAGGATCGCCGTCGATACGTAACATCGTTTCGAAATCGATCAGTAAATCGTACCATTTTCTCAAGTATTTAACTCGGTTGGTACCGGTGTAATCTTTAACATACAACAAGTGTTTCCACGTTAACCGGCACATAATGACTTTCAACAAGCCGATATGCATGTTGTAGTACCTGTAATATCATATTATAAGATTTAATCATTATATATTGTAGTTGATTATGTTTCACGTTTTTATTGACATCCATTGTTGTCATAAGTGTTATCATTAATACGGTCGCTACCACTTTTCCCAAATTGCATATTAAATTACCAATGTCTTTGACTAGTTTCTTATCAGTGGGCGGAATTCAAACTGATAAGGACGGCAGGTCACCGGCCGGTGTTAATAAGAGGCGTATTTCTTTCATGGAAACTCTCAATAATTGGCGGGGACAAGTCAATAAAAGAACCACACACGCCAGAGATCGGACAGTTCTCCTTTCCTATCAGTACCCACCCTTCATTCCTTCCTTCCACCTAATTATATTATCTTCCTCTTTTCACCACAAACATACCTTTCTCCATATTATTCCTCCGGGATTCAATTACGCGATTGTTATGTTTAAAATCAAGTCTTACAAGTGTTTTATCAATACAAATTACAATAGGTACTATTAAACCTATTTCTCGGTAACTTGTAGCCTCTTCCTCCGCAGCTACTTTGGGCTAGTGGCATAAGATTGTTCTACGCATCTTCTGCACAAGTTATTTTAAGAGATTACCAGAGTGTTAACAGTCCACAATAATGTTTACACTATATTAAGCAATATCGAAACAAAAACGCAACTCTGCAGAATCCATAGACTTCCAGACAAACCTTTCGGCAAGGTAATATAATAGGAAGTCATATTTAAACTTTAATGGTACGTCGCCAAATAATACTTCCACAATCCGACTAAACAGCTATAACCCTACATTACTGCCCGTCTATTTTTACCTCTAACAAGTGAGCAGCTGTTCGTTTATCTTTTCTATATTCTACATATTACATACCTTTTGACGTTTTTCAGGCTGTTTTTGTGCCACAAGAGTTTGTGCGCGTAAGTCCAAGAATAGTCGAGATACACGTGGGTATGGTGCCAATTCACTTGCACGTTGTACGCGTACATCAAATTCGATTTGGCTTCATTGTCAACGCCCAAATTGTTCATGAACAGCTGTCTGGATTTCAACGCATCGCACCTCCGCCCAAATGTCGACTGTGCGTTGTTGGTTTTCAACATTTTCTCGGTGCCAAAGTAGTTTCTCAGTATCGCTCCCTGTAACTCGTCCAACCCGGGTTTCCCACCTGGAGACGTCTGCATAACGTGTACCGCGTGCCAGTCGCGGTACGTGTCAAACGTATTGCCTTGGCGACAACGAGCCGAGTCCTTTTGTAGCTGCTCGATGACATAACTATGGGTGCCGATGAGATTGTCGATAGCCTGTGATCTAGCCCGCTGGTCCTGCTGGTTCATAAGTACTTTTTCGTGATAGTTCGGCATCGTGTGGATGTACAAGTGCAAGATCCACAACGAACCGATTTTCACCTCGTCCGAATCGTTGTCGTACAACGTACATATTATCGTTTTGCTGTTGTAGCCAGTGTAAACCATGCCCGCCGCAATGCTAGTACAAATGTTTTGGTCTTCCAACATCAACTTAGTGAGTCGCATGTACGTCAGCCCGCTGAACAGATACGCGCATTTTAAATCTTTAAGGCGGCCAGCGTCGTCGTCTTCGGTGCCGCGAACGTAACCGGTTTCCAGAGCCGATAGTACCGCCGAACGACTTACAATAATAATTATTGTTAATGTTGCTGAGCACAAGCCGACTGTCGTCGGCTGCATTTTGTTCGTTTGCGTAGACTTAACTACCTACTGGGTTTTTGTATTTTTACGGGTTTTGTTATTTTCACGGTTAAGCACACTTGCAATATTGTACAACTTCCTTGTTTACTTAAACACAATATTGGATTGAACGAAACAACAACAATAATAATCAAAGTTATGTTAAAACCTACTCTTTTTCTGGTATCGTATGCGATAACTGTTAAAAATACTCGTATCCGTCATATGAATGTTTATCCGTAATAATAGTATGCTATCGTTAATTTTACAACCATTACATATACTAACCAGAAAAATGATAGTACACCGAGAAAAAGTGTAGAAAGACCTTTATTCAATTGGAAAATGTCAATAAAACGATTTGCAACAATTTCAAGCAAAAAAAACATTGAAAATCGTTTTTTTATTTACACCTAATTATGACATAATAAACATTTACCTATCGATTAATTTTGTCGGTATAATCCGTAAGCGACCGAATTACATCGAAATCGACGTTTCTAATATCACGTTTGGATAACATATAAAAGTGTTGGCGATAACTAGACTGTTACGTTCATTGGTATATGGCTGGATGTCTTAAATAGTAATGGTAATTCTATGCAAAATTTCCTCAAGATTATTTATAATATTGACTATGCTATTTTGCGCCTTTGTATTATAAATTATCATGAATAGAAACCATCTCATATAACTTTCAGATATTTTGTGAATCAAAGAATATAATAAAAGATAATATATTAACTTTGATTAAATTTCGTATCATTGGTTTTGGAAAAACTGAATAAAACAGTAAATAATCTATTAGAGTCTAAAAAAATTTCAATTCGAAAAAAGTTTAGACGATGAAGTTCACAAAGCTATTGCCAAAACCAATAATGAAGCGCATAAAAAAATATAAACTATTCAAATTACAATAATTGTATTAAGTTCATTAGACCCGATACAATAAGTCTTCGACTAACATTCGTTAAACTAAACGCACGTTAATATAAAAATAGCTAAATTTACATTCATTTTTCCACAATTAAATTAATTCATTTGGTTAAATCAACCGACTTTTTCTATAGAATAAATTTTAAACACTGCGTTATTTTAGTACAGTAATTATTTTAAAAATAAAAAAAATAATATTGATTAGTCAAATTCTTTTTGTTCAATAAATTCATCCAAAATTGAATTAGACTATAAAAACATAAACAGTTATATCGCAAGAGTAATAAACATTTTTTTTTTCAAGTTTTACATAACTAACATTGTAAATAACTGAAGATTAATCTAAACAATCGGTTGGCAATATTGTTATTATAAATTATATTTATAAAAACTTGTTCAATAGAATTAAACCATCTTTTAGGCAGTTAAAAAGTAAATAATTGACAATAATTACTAATAATTAAATAATTGCACATATTTTGCCATAGTTTACACATAAAATATTTCAAAAACTGAAAATGTATTACAATTTTTTTTTTTGTTATATGTAGTAATATATTTTATTTTGAGTAAAATAAATTAAAAATAACTTATAAAATTGTTTACAAATGTTTTTATTTAACATACTAAAAAATTAAAACTAATATATAATAAATATATCTATATTTAGAAAATCAAAAAAAAAAAAAACACTTAAGTACGAATCAGTTCGTTTTGTACAAACAACATAAGTGAAAATAATATAATTTAGTGTTCTTTTATAGAAAAAAGTGAACACCATGAGTACCGAAAAATAATCTTAAAATATCAACAACAGAATAAAATGGTAAATTTCAATCTTGTTTGAATAACAATAATAAACTGTAAAAACTACAAATTTTTGTTAAAAAAATAATATATTAGTTGCAAATTCACACAGTAGTTAATTTTTTTTTTTTTTTTACAGGCAGATGTATCGCACACAAGAACGGGCGGCACTAAACTTGGACGAATTAAGAATAATTAAATACCTAATCGTATTGAACAAATTATTTCAACGTAAATTGTATTTAAAAATGATTCATCAATCACATATGTATATACGATATTCTATTAGAAAACAAATAATAGACAATAAAAATAAATTATTAACATGATTACTGGAAACTAGATGCGATTATAATAAGACAATACTATTGAGACATTTTTTTTTTAATTTCTATGATTTTCTCCAAAACATATATAACACAGTAACTTGTAATCAATCACTATTATTATTACTTTTTTTTTTTTTAAATATTGTTAACTATTAGTCGACTATGTTAATAATTTGACCGTTCTCATTTACTTCATTTAGTCAAACACTATCTATTGAAAGGTGACTACAATGCTGAATAAAATTAGTTGAAAAAAAGAAATCAACAATACTAAAAAATTAAAATTAAAATAAATGTAACATTGTTGGTGTGTTAAACGAAAATAGAAACTTAACATTAGAAAAAACAAGCAGGATAAAAATGTGTTGTTAATGTTGAAAATAAAAACGGTGTACAACTTCTGAACAGCCCCAAAAGTCGCCAATGGTTTAATTGGCACTTCTTAGTTTTAAACGTGACTAGATGCTCTCGTAAGCGGACGCCATCATCGATGTACCACACAGTTTGCCCTATAAAAACCATTTAGTAAATTTAAATACGATTAGTAGAGCGGCGATTAAGTTATTGTTAATAGTATGTTAGCAGCGACGTGGTCGTAAGGGTATAAGCCATCCGCGTGTACACCCTTATGACTACGTAGTCACTATGTTAGGATAGGTCGAAACAAACTTTGATGTTATTGTACTGCGACGACCAAAATTGATAATGAGGCAATATGTCGGTGCCGGTTGCGTTAAACAAGCAAGCGTTGATTACGGATCCGCCGATAACGTAAATGAAAATGACAAACAACAAAAAGGAAAAGAAGACAGACCAGGAATCCGTGTTGCTGTTTTCGATTGAATCCAATAAGTTCAATCCACACACACGATTCGTTTTCAGCGTGATCGACTGCAAATAACAATAATTAGTCTGTTTTAATAGTAATCATGGACGGTACTAGTATTTCGACAGACTGCAAATACATTTTTTTAAAAATCTCTCCCAAATTTTTACATTAAGTCATCCCTTAAAACCTTAAGAAATAACAACTGATTACAAAATGCTTGAAAACACACATTTCTAAAATTTAAATACATTTTTTTTTTTATCAATTTCAACATTTCAAGGTCCTCAAGCTTATTTATATAATTATATACACACTGTGCGACCAATGTGTTGCATTTTATTTATTCACAGTCGCTGAAATGCTAAGACCTTCAACATTTGTTCAAATTATTTTTCAAAACAGGTCTTAAGTAGTATTTAATATATTTACACTTACATATTGATTAGTATTGTTAACGAAATTGGTTAGGTATTCATTCCCTTCGACTGCTGATGGATCGCACGATAAATCCACCTCAAAATTACTACAAATAAACAGTAATTTATACCTATTACAAGTACATTTGATACAAAAAAAAAAAGTAGTTTCTTTTACCCAGTACTGTTTGAATAAACCAATGATATTTGATCGTCGATATCAAATTGAACATCCATATAACTAGCAAGTGCTGTCGTAGTGCTTGCCGTAGCGTTCACTATTTTTATCTGAAATTAAAACAGACTCTAAATTTAACTAAAAACTTACTATTAACTTCGATGTGGTTTAGTTTGCAGTATTTACATGGCCTTTACTAAAAACTTAAACGAGTAATAGAAGAAAAACTAAAATTATTTTGCGGAGGTACGTAATTGATCTGACAAAAGTGCTCAATTCATTTAAAATAAAAGGGATATATTTTTCCTGTTGAATGACAAAACCACTTCTTGCTTTGCGTTTCGTCAAAACATGTGTTTTACTCAATTTCTTCAGTCTTTTCAAACTAGAAATCTAATGAAAAGTTTCTTAAACTATTGAAAAAGATGGGAGGGGAAAAATTACAAAAAAAAATGGAAAAAAGCTTTATCGGATATATAATATAATTTGATCTTTAGGTAATAGGTTTTAGACTTGTAGAACTTTTGTGAAAAAAATTTTAATTTGGCGCTAGTGCGCATGACAATAATTGACGAGGATTTGACAATTTGAAATAACGTTAAGTAGGTAGGTAAACGTATTAAAAAAGGTAGAAAACATTCAATATTCTTACGGCTGTTGTATCCGGATTTTGAACATCGTCAGGACACGGCTTGTAGTTTAGCGTCACATCGGTCGAGAGGTTCAACGATATGTTTATACCGCCGAGGTCTACTCTGGAATTGTCAACGCTAACGCACACGCAGGGCGATGCCATTTCACAGTAGAACTTGTCCTTATTCTTCAGTGCCATTGCCGACACCACAACACACGACAGCCAAACAACGCGGTTGAACGGGCTCGAAAAATACATATTAATATCGTCGAAGGGATATGGAAAAACGAAAAAAAAAAAACAGCAATTTTAAAAGAATAACTCGTGAATAACTCAAATTACGGACTTATCGAATCGACGTTGAGATGTGACAACGGTTTGAGTACAACATTATTATTTTTATTGTTAATATTAATATTCTAATTATCGTGGGTCGCGTTTAAGGATTACATAATATTAGATAGGTACATTACATCATGATTATGGATATTTAGAATAAACAGGAATTTGTATTATCAAGCGAATGTTATCAGCTGGGAAATTACCGCGCGGAATAACCAGAAGGGAAGCTTGAAAAAAATTACATGGGTTGTTATGTGCCGCCGAAAAAGGCCGACTGCCATATTGTTTTCGCGGCCGGGAACCAGACAACAAAATAATAATAATATATTAATGGGATAATACCTAGAATTAGCAATAATCGTACGTAATCTTCGGCAACGAAATGTCGGACACTTATCAGTATTCAGAAGTTTCCCATCTGGTTATTCCGTGATTTTTATTATCAAGCGAATGTTATCAGCTGGGAAATTTAGAGGCCGGCCGCCATCTCGATGTCGTCCGATAAGGTGATAAACGTTTTCTGCGCATTTTATTTTATTCTTTTCGAAATAATACACCTATTAAATATTATTAATAATTACAATATTATCATCATCGTCAATATAATAAACCTCAATATGAAATCATTAGTTACCCGTATACGATAATAATAATAACACAAGACGATTCTCGTCGATATCGATAAATTATTGTTCATCATCTCCGGATTATTAACAAAATTTAAAATTATAATATTAATAACCAACCATTTTTGCTAGATGTTATTTTGCGTCGCGCTTAGGTTTTTTTTTTTTTATATAAAAATCCATTTTTATTTCCCGACACGTGCATAATATTTATGTACACTAAATGAAATAACAATTTAATATTATTCTCGACGACGGTTACACATAACCGTACTTGAATAATGTCAATATTAAATTACAAATTCGGTTTGAAGACCGGAAAATACTTTTATTTTGGTATTTAAATTAAATAACAAAATGGAAACTGCAGGTATAAAATAAAGTAGAAAATACTATTAATAAACTATTTCATTTAATTAAACTAAATTGTCTGTTTACGATAAAGACATGGTTTGTTCAATGTAAAGTTAATACTACACACATTTATTTTACCTAGAACGTGTCCTTTAATAAACTGTATTAAAAATGTTCATTTAAAAAATATAATACCACAATTTTAAATTCTTTTTTGGTGCATTTGTTTGTACATTATGAAATATTTACAACTTACTAACAATATTGCATCACTTTTTTTGAGAAAGAAATTTTTTTTTCTTAATAAAATATAAAAGTTACTACAAATGTATAATGCAATATAGATGCGACAAGACAAGACAATTCATGCATTTTATTACTTTATTTGAAATTGTATTAACTATATACTACCTTCTTCTCCAATATGCCCCCAAAAAATTCACTTTTAATTGTTTAATAAATGAAATAATTAGCCAAAATTAGAACTCTAAGAGGAAATTAGTAAATAAAAATAGGTACATTTCTGGAACCAACTTCAAGTACAAAATATATTTTAAATACATTTATGACTAAAGACTATTTTTTTTTTTTAAGAAATAATATTAACGATATACTTATATTATAAATTGATCTATTACAATTATTTACAGAATAGAAACAGATTCACATTGACAATAATTATAATGCATAAACGGCATCCAGTTTTTGATAAAAACTAAATCGTACCATTTCTCAATTGTGCGATCCATTGAACAAATTTTCTAATGAGTTATTAGATTTTATACTGTACACTAAATAACGTAATAGCAATTATAATAATAATTTTAAAAAACCTTATACATTTTTAAATTTTTTAAAAAATAACAATACAAACAAAACAATTTTTTTAGACATCTTAAAAAACCGTAAGCGAGTTTTCAAACAGTTTACTCAAGTCTTCTTCAGATTGTTCTCGAGGAGCAAGTTTCGTTATCCTGTGCTGCGGTAATGTACCTTTGACTAGATTTGGAATGTCGTCTTTAGTATATCCGAGTGCTGATAAGCCATTATCGATTTTCATGTCCTGCATATATCCCCGTATGACGTCAGCCAAAAATTTGCCAGCATCAGCGTCTTTAACGCGACTCACGTCAGCACCTAGTAATTTGGCACCTTCCAAATGGCGTTCAGGGCTAGCCGTAGACGTAAATTCAAAAACTGCAGGACCAGACATTATGACACTTAACCCGTGGGGAATAATCGGATGGTCGGTCACGTAATCTTTGGCTTGATATTTTTTCACGTTTCCTGATATAGGATACGACAGAGCGTGGCATAAATGGACGCCGGCATTTCCAAATCCTACACCGGCCATCGTAGAAGCTAAATGCATGTTAGATCGCGCTTCAAAATCTTCTGGATCGTAAACGGCTCTCTTGAAATACTTTTTGATCACGTCTAACGCGTAACGAGCCCATACATCGGATATGGGATTACGTCCTTGGTAAGCGGGCCTTAAGATCGGATTAGTGGGCCGCGGAGATCTTTCATTGTACGGCACAGCCGTGAACGATTCCAATGCGTGACCGAAAACGTCAAAACCGCTGAAAGCGCACACTCTTTCTGGTTGACACAAAGCGTGTAAAGGGTCTACAATAGCCAAAGTGGGTCGCAGAGCTCGATTGGCAATACCCGTTTTGGCTTTGAGTTCTTCAAAGTCGAATATGGAAACACCAGTCGTTTCGCTACCCGTTCCGGTTGTTGTAGGCACAGCGATTAACGGCTTCAACGGTACGGTCACTGGTTTTCCCTTACCAATGGGCGGATTAACGTAATCCAGAAATTCAGCTTCCGGATCAGAGTAGTACAAATTGGCGGCTTTACAAGTGTCCATAACGGAACCGCCGCCAACAGCTATGAACGCGTCAAATTGCAAGTTGCGCACATACTCGGTGGCTGCATTGAGACTTTTTTCGTTAGGTTCCACTCTTACCTTGTCGTAAAGGTCGAATCGAACGCCGTGTTTGGTAAGCGAATCGAGAACTGTTTTTACAGGCGACATGTTGACCAGATTCGAGTCGGTCATTACGCACACTCGTTTGGCATTCATGTTGACCATATCCATGCCCAGCTCTTTAGTGACGCCCGGGCCGTAACGAACAGTCGAGCAAGCCATTTCGAAAGCGTACTCCTTTTGTTCCACGTTTGTGCTGAGTCTAGTGGGCAACACTCCCAAGGTGGAATGCGACGGGCACCGACAAGAGGCCGAATGCAAAGTGTCCATCAGACCGATCACTCTGGACCTCATTTTGCAGTTTCTGTTTTCAAAAATGCGTTAAAAAGTAACTGATAAATTATATTATACCTAATGAAAACGCAGTGGTTGTACTTACATAGTCTTACGACGTCGTTTAATATTTTTAGATGTTAGCTAATGCGAATACACACTTTGGCGTAGATCGATGAACTCGAATAATATAGAATATTATGTACGTGTGAGTGTTATTTAATCGATATGAATTGTACAGATAATATTATAATTGATCACAGTATATTATATAATAGTAATGATACGGTACAACGTTTAATAATCTAAATTTGCTCACCTGTTGATCTGTATAACAATATACATATCATTTATAACAATAAGACGATTACTGATTAGACTCCCAAAACATGTGTGCGATATGCAACTAAACCTACAATACAATAAGGGGTTATTAAAATAGAACTGAATTTTTCACAATAGTCATTTTTGGCATCGCCATGGGTTCTACGAATTTTTAGAGCCCCTGGAACCTGGATTGTACTAATAATAAATCAGGGAACATTTAAATCCGCTAAACGACAACGTTTAATTGTCTACTCCGTGTTGTACCTACTATGGACCCAAAGCACAATAAAATATGAAAAATCGTTTTGGCTTTGATTGTTTAGTTTTTGTTAATTTAGCTGTACTTTTAAATGGGCCGTCGGCCGATGGGAAATGGGAATGGTCAATGGAGATAGCTCTTATCGACTATTATCACTGAGCCATTATCAGCCGTTTCGTTTCACGGACGAACGAAGTACGAAGACAGACAGCAGATTAGTGTTTCGACTATGTTGTGAGAAAAGCATTTATATAAAACATATATTTATTTTTCATTCAATGTTCTTAGTAGTTTATACATTTTTTTTTATATTATGTTGGAGGTTATTCATGTGTTACCAAATATATTTCAAAAGCTTTAGAAAACCCATAAACATTGGTAATCTTCCAGAACGCGGTTGTGATCAAAAGGTATTCAGGGCGATCGCACTGCAATAAAATATAATATTTTAGTTGCCATTCAAATATGAAAAACAACATAATAATTATTATGTCTTTATAATTAGATACTGCCGTTCGACGGAATAAAAATAAACTAATACTAAATAACTGTCCTCCCCCCCCCCAGAGTGGTAGTACAGTCTTAACATTTTGATAGGATTTAAAAAAATATAATATTATACGATGTACATCTTCGTTTTTTTTATAGTTAAGTTGACTAAATTTATATTGAAATAAATAATAACAGAAAAAAGTTGCATTACGATTATTGTAGAAAACTAATTTTTTAAAAGAAATTTCAAAAGGTTACGGTTCATTTGATTGATGTTATAAAATTCAAAGTACAATCAAATTTTATTTTACTAAAAAAAAAATTGCTCAACATGAATAATATCTAAATCAATATACAGGTTGCTGTAAGAGATTCCAAAATCAGGGGTAATTTTATCCTAAATCCTCTGATTCTCATTGGTTGTTTTTTTATAATTTTAGAAAATCGTCAATAAGTCAGACATTGTTATATATATGCAAGCTCAATACGGGTATCTAAATAATGTTAACAGTCTATGGAACTTGAAAAAATTGTTTTTCTAAACGATTGCTATATTTTATAAGCAGTGGAATTTCCACTGTGGAAATGGAAACGCACATCAAAGCACACAAATGTTTTTTTAAAGTAAAAAAACTGTATTTCCGAGTAAACGCCTGGGCGAAAATTCTCTAATCAATATTTTGATAAAAAATTTTGTTTACTTTTAAAGTGGGTGTCACTTTTGAAACAAATCCGCCGAAGAGTAAAATCATTATTTTACGGATTACTAAAAAGGCAGTAGTTGTAAAGTAACAAAATATCTATGTGCACAAATCGTAAGTAAATTTATATCTGTTTCGATAAAATTGTCAGTTTATGATGGTTTGTTATAACCTTCGAATTTTTAATATAAAAAGTAATAGTAATATTTTATGTACAAAAACAAAAATGAGAAAATCTATCATTGGAAATTTAATATTCTGATGAAAATTTAATACTTGGCTTATGAATATTTATCGATAGCAGTTTAAAAAAGTGTACTAGAACATTTTTTGTGCACGAGTACCAAAAATGTAGGTTCTTCAAAATTATTTTCAATTTATTATAGTCTTAGCATTTTTAATATAAAAAAATTAATCAACAAATTTCGAATAACGGTTAAGGTATTTTAAATATGATTTACCTACCTATTCAAACACAGTAAAGGTGACAGTGTTATCGACGGGGTCAATATTATCATTTAATGGGATACTATTGTGCTACTGTTGTAAAAATTAATATTGATTATAAATTCAAATTTTTACATTTTCATAGCAATTAAAGAGATTGATGCAAATTTTAAATTCAAACCCTAACAAAAAAAAAAAAAAAAAATGATAAGAAAAAATAATAACTACAAATTTGCAATATCATCCTGTGGAAACTGTTAACCGTTACAGGTTTTGATGGAATATTGCTACAACATTTTGTCAATGTTAAAAAAATATAATTGGTAGATAGGTATTAACAAGTTTCATAATATGATGGCATTGGTTATAACTCATATAGGCTATTACATATTTTGTTGTTATTGTTATTATCTTATTATGTATGTATCTGACGATACAATAATATATTAGTACATTATTACAATATTACCTGTTAGTACGCACAACGTTTAACATGTATTCAAGCCGTCTATGTACGTCACGATCGACTGGATTACGTCGAAATCGACCATTTGGAAAGAGGAACTGAGATCAGCGATGAAAGTCCATGCGTTTTTTAGACTATCGCTGTCGATGGCCGCTTGGTCGGACGTTTCCTGATCCGCCATCGAAGGGAACGGCTCCGATTTCAGGGTCATCTGGTTGGTGGCCACGCATTGGAGATAAACGTTCATCTTGTGCAGATAAACCTCGAGCTGGTTACTAATGTCGACGCTGCCGTGCCTGTCGATAGCACCCAGTAAAGTCTTGACGTCCGGATCGTCTTGGAGGCGCAGCAGTATCTGGAATTTCACCAGCAATTCGTGTCATATAATAAAGTAATTTTCTCGGCGTTTACCCGTAAACGTAATGACGTACAACAAATGTTTCCACGTCAGGCGATCAACGATGGCTTTGAACAGACCCAAGACCCGACTGTAATAATTCTTGAGGCTAAACCAGGGGAGTGAACTATCAGTGAATGAGTAGATAATGTGCGCGTAATCATAGTCGTTTTCAAGCAATTCGGACGTGCCGTACCAGCTGATTTGCACGTCGTAGCCAGTCATAAATTTCGAGTTGAGTTTTCTGTTGACGCCCAGGTTGTTGAGGAACAGCTGTGTGGCCTTCAACGCTTTGTACCGCTTGCCGTACGTGAAATGTGCGTGTTCGTTTTTAACAGTATATCCAGCTCGTTGCAGTTGAACAGAATCAGCTCCGTTTAGATATCGGACAAATTGGGTTCGACGCTCGGCATGGCGGCCACCAGCTCCGCATGCCAAGTTTTGTACGTGTCGAACCGGTTGCCCGGTCGACAACCGGTAGCCGACAAGTCCTTTCGCATTCTATCCGTCACGTAATCGTGGATGACCACCAGCCAGGCCACGGCCGCCGTCCGGCCGGCTTTGTTCGCGCTGCCAAAGATCGAATTTCTGTAATAAGACTGCACCGTACTCTCGTACAGCAGTAGCAGCCACAACGAGACGATTTCCACGTAGGTCACGCCGTACAGAGTGCATATCACCGCTCGGATGTCGTAGAGAATCAGCAAACCGACCGGTTGGCTGCTCGGTATGTTTCTGTCATTCAGCATGTGTTTCACCAACCGCATGTGGGTCATTCCGGCAAACAGATACGTGCACTTCAAATCCCTGTACTGGCCTGTCATGGCCGGGTATTCATTCGTGCCATATCTGTAACCGGTCTCCAGCGACAGTACCGACGGGGTCAATGAGGCCATCAGGCTCATCAAGGCCACTAGGCTCAAGACGACCGTCGTTGGCGATAATTTTAAAAGCGGCATTCTGTCCACAATCCGCAACTACCGTCGACACTGAATTGTACCTATACTGAACATTTCTTATTTTACCTGTTCACACCTCGGGCATCAATCATTATTTGCAAAACCCATATTTTGTCAATAACGCCATGTTTACCATTACCACGCTTAGAAGTAATCGTATAGGTTGATATTTTTAGATTTATCAACGGTACACGTTGTTACGAAGCATGGTATCAGTCCATTTTTTTAATAAAGAGTTTTAAAGTTATTATACTAGTTCGGACGGAAGGAAAGGTTGAGAGAATAGTTTTCTTAACAATTCCAAAACGGTGGAATAAACTGATTTGAAAATAGCCATTACATTTCACGTTTTGATGGAATATTGCCATAATGTCATATTGTAGGTGATATTTTATTTTATTTAAGATGGACCGTTTACAGCCATCAAGTATTTTTTATAAAAGTGATGTTAAAAATGCCAGTATAAAATGCCTAACAATACAACATATTATTACACAATTACAATATTACTAGCTACACACAGCGTTTACCATTTATCGTCTATGTACAACACGATCGATCGGATTATATCGAAATCGACCATTCGGAAAGCGGACTTGAGATGAGCGATGAAAGTCTTTGCCTCTTTTACACTATTCGATTCGATTTCCGCTTGGTATGCGCTTGAAGGGTACTGCTCCAGAGTGATCATGTTGGTGGCTTCGCATTGGAGACAAACGTTAATCTTGTGCAGTTTAACAACGAGCTTGTTAATAGCATAGCCTATGTCTACGTCGTTGCGACTGAGCCTGTCGATGGTGCCCACAATTCCCGTAACGTCCGGATCGTCTTGGAGGCGTAACAGTTTCTGGAATTCCACCAGCAATCCGTGCCATTCTTTCAAGTGATTTTCTCGACGTGGACCCGTAAACGTGTTGACGTGCAACAAAAATTTCCACGTCAGCCGGAACATGATGACTTTGAACAGACTGAAGACCCCTCTGTAATACTTCTTGATGCTAAACAAGGGGAGTAATATAACAGTGGGAGAGTAAAATTTGTGCGCGTACTCCCAATCTTGTTTCAGCAGTTCGAACGTGCCATCCCAGCTGACTTGCACGTCGTACGCGGTCATTAGATCGGACTTGAGGGATTTGTTGACGCCCAGGTTGTCGATGAACAGCTGTTTGGCCTTCATTCCTTGGTACCGCGTCCCGTACGTGGATTGTGCGTTGTTCGCGTTCAACAGTCTGGTCAGCTCTTGGCAGTTGTGTAACGCCTCGTTTTGAACATGGAACGAATTGGGTGTGCCGCTCGGCATTGCGGCCGCCAGCCGCGCGTACCGAATATCATACGAGTCGAACCGGTTTCCCGGCCTACAACCGGCTGCTGACAATTCCCTTTGAACGCTACCCGTCACGTAATCGTGGTTGACCACCAATCTATCCACGGCCGCCATCCAGCCCAGGCTGTTCGCGCTGCCGGCTATGTATTGTTTGTAATAAATCTGCACCGTGCTTGCGTACAGCAGTAGCAGCCACAACGAGCCAATTTCCACGTCGGTCACGTCGTACAGGGTGCATATCGCACCTCGGATGTTGCAGTGGTTCACCGTGCCGACCGAACAGCTGGTCGAAATGTATTTGTCTTCCAGCATGAGTTTTATTAACCGCATG